TGGATCCATGTGGATGGAGGTAACGTATCCCCAACCCCTGAGTGACGTCTGGAAGGCGATGCTGATGGGTTCAGCTTTTGGTATCTTTGCGCGGGCGTTGGACGACAGCCCCGAGTTTTCCAAGATCAAGAACATGGCGGCCGGGTTGGAACTCGCGGACAGCATCACAGTGGACGGGCACAAGCTTCTGAACGTGGTACGTTGTATCAGCCTCTTACCCCCTTTTCCGAAAACCAAAGAGACACTAACTGTGTCCGCCAAGCCTTACGATTGCGGCATGTTCTTCACACGGTCCCTCGAAACTCTGACGTCCGTCTTCACCAACCCCAACGCGGCGTACCTCTCCTCGGGCCCCTCTAGTATCCCGTCCCCGCTCAACATCGGCCTCGAGAACTCGCGCCGCTTCCGCGCGCTGCCCGCCTACGCCGTGCTCCGCTCCGAAGGACGCTCCGGTCTCGCCGCGATTCTGGGAAGGATGGTCCTGCTGGCGAGGAAGATTGCGTCGTGGATCCGTGAGTCGGAGGCGTACGAGCTGCTGCCGGAGGGGGGTTGGAGCGTGGAGGACACGACGCACATGGTGGTCCTGTTCAGCGCGAAGGATGAGAGTGTCAATGAGGAACTTGTCGGACGGATTAACGGCACGAGGGAGATGTATGTTAGCGGGACCAGCTGGAAGGGGAAGAAGGCGGTCCGGGTTGCGGTGGGCAGTTGGAGGGTTGATGTCGAAAGGGACTTTGAGGTGGTCAAGAGGGTGTTGGAGCAGGTCAAGGGGTGAAGGGCAGATGTTGCAGAGGAGGAATTCCAGCCGTGTCTTCCGTCCCGCACTTGTGGTCCCTAGATTTCACCTGCTGCCCCCGAGGAGGAAGGCGCGCCCCTGGATCCGCTCCTTCCCTCCCACGCCCGCCTCACCCCATATTCACCTTCACCTTTTTCATCCCAACCTCCCACGCGTCACGCGCCCTCGCTACCGTAGAATCAACAGAAGCGCACCCTGCCCTACTTTGTTCCAAATCGTCTAGAGACTGTCACCACTAGAAGGCATCTTGGTCAGGCGGGACAAGTCAGGTCAAACTAGCTGGTGAATCGCCAAGGTCGACCGTTCGAATCCCGATCGAAGCCTACTCGACGACAGGCTACCCCCCCGACCGATACCTCACCGATCCGAGAGATGCCGCACCGATCCGAGCGATGCCACACCGATCCGAGTGATGCCGCACCGAACCGAGCGATGAAGATATCCCAGCATGAGCACCAAGAGATGTAGCCCACACCGGTGGGTGAACTCTTTTGACCCTTTGATGCTATTGATCCATGCTATTTCACCTGCGCGTGGAGGTCTACAAAGTGCGCTTGCGCGATGCGCTGCTGAACGAAGGAGATTGTCGCAAGAGTAATTACGACGTACTGTCGCGACGCGCAAGTTCGCACCTTTGTGGTGTTTACTCTCTACTCTCCGCACTCCACGATTGTACCCTGACAAGAGCTGCGACGAGCCCTCTCGCGGGAAGACATCTTTACTTCCACTGGTCACTCGTGCGCTTTCTGCAGTGGCGTACGTTTTGCGAATCCCATTTCTGCTGCTTGCCTTCGCAACCCGTCTCGCTCAAACGATGATCTGAATCCTTACGCACCCAGGTCTTGAGATTGAGGATGCCCCGGGAAATGCGACGAGATAGCTCAACGAGTTGGACACTGTTGCTCTCGCAGTTATGCATGGCGATCTACTGTCGCAAGCGCAAGCGCAGGAAATATTGCCAAATGTACACTTTATTCATCACCCTATAATACAAGTCTAGGCGTCCAAGATGCTCTCCAGTGGCACACCCCAATACCAGCCGGCCACTCCCATCGCACCCATGCTCATCGTGAATGCCATCAGGAAATTGACATCATTGTTGTCCAGGAGATCCCATCCAGTCTCAATCACACGCGAAGGCTGCGCGTCGCCGAAGCTAGACTTGCGGTGCTTGTCCTTGGGATCATATCTCGTGGCGTCTGCACTCATCTCAGGGGCGTCAATGTCCTCAATGGCGCTGTCCGTCTTCTCCATTTTCTCCACAGCGGCCTTGCCCTCTCCGTGGAGCACCGCAGCCTTGACCGCGGCGCGCTTCTGGTTCTTATCGGCGTGGTCCGACGAGTCGCCGGAGATCAGAACCTTGGTGCCGCCCTCGCCCTCGACAATCTTGCCAGATCGCACATCCTTGACAGAGCGCTGGAAGACGGCGCCGAGTACACTGTCGAGGAGACTGCCGAGGACGCCCCAGGCAGTCAGGCCGAGCATGAGTGTCGACCGCTGCTGCGTCGTCCAGCCACTGAGTCCACCGCCGACCTTCCCAGCAGTGCCTCCGCCGCAAAGAGGGAGGAAGACCATCGAAGTGGTGACAATGATCATAGATCCGAGGGCTCCAGCTGCAATTCCCAATGGCGTCACACCTCCATTCGTGCCCCGCGGGACCTTGCGGAAGGTAGGGGATGTAATCAGTCGAGGTTCGCTCTTGGCCAGAATGCCCAGTTCAGAACTGAACGTGTCGGCGGCGACGGCGGCATAATTGGCAATGATACCGATGACGAGGAGATCTCCTCCCCAGGAGAAGCAGAGGGTACCGGAGGGGTTCGGGGTCGTGGTGTCCAGGATCGCATCCTTTCGCTTGTTGAGTTGGTAGGCGTGGAGAAGGGACAGGCACGAGGCCATGAGGGAGTTCGCGAAGACTGTATTGCCAAGTATTAGATCGGTTCGCATACTCGAACGGGCTTTTGGGAACGTTCTGACTGACCTTGGACATGGGTTCGCGGGCCTTCACCTCCCGGCGTGCCTTGGGAAGCGACCGTCAAAGTGGCCTTGATATCCTTCTTGACCTGCTGCTTGTGAGAACTTGCCGCTCCACAGAAGCAGCGCGCATACCTTAGTGGCCCTCGTACCAGCGAGAAAGAACACGCACAGCAGGGCGAAAGGCAGGTTCCATGGGTGGTAGGCGTGAGCAATGGCAGTAATGACAGCTGCCGCAATGCCTGCGGGGGTCAGCGACTGGTGCGACCAGGCTCGATAGACGAGGGCAAAAGTCGCCGGAACGGCGTAGATCGCTTTCATCGTGGGGTTTGGTAGACAGTCGCGATGTTTGGGGAAAGTTTGGGGTGTCCTTGCGACCTCGAAGGTGTGATGGACCGAAGTTCCTGTCCTGGCCAGACGGGTTGGACTGGTGCTTGCTTCAGTGAATGGACGTCAGCTCCACGTGACGTCAGTCTGAACGCTGAGGCAGGAGCTCTCAAAATCGGGGGGTAAGCTCTGGACCCCTGTCACTCCCCCAAAACGTCTCGCGTACCCCCGCACGGTCCACCGAACGGTCCTTATTCTGTTTAAATGCATCAAAAGTAGTGGGATGGACCCCGGTTAGGAGCATCCAAGCTCTGCGATCCCCTCTGGCTCTTTGATGTAGAACCAACAAGATCATCTCGTCATTTATCTTAGGCTAGGTATTTTCGGATATAGATCTGCACTTTTCTTTCTGGTGTAGCCATCGCCATAACCAGCCCTGCGGCGCTACAGCGCAATTATACTTAAATACTCCAGCAGCCAAGCTCGCTGCATTATACCATGAACTGAATCCCGGACATCGTCTATTCTGTGACCACAAAGCCATGACGGAACAACTCTCCTTGACCACCGATTCTTCTGCGATTGATGCTGCGCTAGATCATCAGGAGCAAGCGCCATTCTTTCGTCTCCCCTGGGAAATCCGAATTGACATCTACGAACTCGCATTTCCTCGTATCAACTCACCACAGCTCATCTACACTGATGTCGGAGGCATACCCTCATTCAACGATATCGGCAATATCCCCTCCGGAAGCCCTCAACAATTGAAACGAATCGCATGCAACGGCATATTCGACGATAAGGGAAACGAGATCAGGGCACAACGTTTCGCTGCACGTTTCAAAGCCGAAAGATTCGACGACGGGAACGCGTTTTTCAAGTCTGTCCTGGACTTGATCAGGCGCCCTCACGATGAATCCATTTACCCACTCCCTCTATTGCTTGCATGCCGACGGATGTACGAAGATGTCGCACCTCACTGCGACCAGTCCCTTGCAATTCAAGATTTCTTCTCGCTCGAACTGTTTTTAGACAGAATGTCCAATGGGGTTTTGGCAGATGGCCTCTCGTCTCGCCTCAATAAAGTCTCGCTTGATGTCAAGCTCAGTAGCGACGGCGCGTTCAAGCCATCATCCCGGAAAAAGATTCTCGGCAGCTGGTCTAAAGCATGCCAAAGGCTCACATCACTCAGAAGTATTAAGCAGTTCCATGTCCGACTCGAAATCCCACTGTCTCAGCAAAGATCAGTGCCTGGACATATTCATCTCGAAATGATCAAGCAGTTGAGTTCCGTCGCTGCAGTCATGCCCAAGATTGAAGTCGAACTGATGCTTACATCAACGGTTCATCCCAAGTCGGAAAGGATCTGGGTGTACCGGCCGGGACCGGTTGAACAACATCGTGGCTACGAGGTGCCGGGATGGACGGCGGAGATATCGGTATGGGGCTCATTTCCCCGTCTCGACGATGTCCCATCGCCGCTGAAGCAGTTTCGTTAGATTATTTGCGGCGCGCAGCAAAGCAATGACGTGTTGAACGAACGGGCCAATGAGGCTTGATGCGTATGCGATTACACCATCCGTATCTATCTATCCATAGCGTCGGTCCGATACAAGCTTATCCGACCCCGGAGTCGGTTCCTTTTGTTTAGCGAGCCAAAGAGCTTCATGATTCATGACGACGGAGTTAATAACTCAAGGTGTACACGACGTTCTCGATTGATCGCGTTCTTGCAATGGATATTGTGTGATAGCCACTGCGGTAACCAGGAGACAAATTCTCTCCTGTAAAGCCCTCGGAATCTTCCGCCGGCTCGACGGAAAGTGACGATAAAATCAATTGGGATCCCTGCCGGTCACTCGAAATCTCACTCCGCAATCGCACTCATATCACCGTCCCAGACAAGATGGCTGCAGACGTGAGGCAAAGACAGGAGCAGGCGCCCAAGCCCGAAGTGAAGAACTACAAAGGCTTCGTTGCCGGCGTGTTCTCCGGCATCGCGAAACTCTCAGGTTGGTCACTCATTACTCACGGCGTCGCCAGCTCGTCTCAATCACTGACACTGCGAAGTCGGCCACCCTTTCGACACAATCAAGGTCCGTCTCCAAACGACAGACATCTCCCGCTTCAGCGGACCTCTCCAATGCGTCGGCCAGACACTGCGCAATGAGGGAATTCCGGGTCTCTATAAGGGCGCCACGCCGCCCCTCGTCGGCTGGATGTTCATGGACTCCGTCATGCTCGGCTCCCTGACGGTCTACCGCCGCCTCGTCGCCGAACGCCTCTTCAAACTCCCCGGTCCCGAGAACCTGCCCTCGTACGGACACGGCATCGCGGGCATCATGGCCGGCAGCACCGTCAGCTTCATCGCGGCGCCCGTCGAGCACGTCAAGGCGCGCCTGCAGATCCAGTACGCCGCCAACAAGGCCGAGCGGCTGTACAGCGGGCCCGTCGATTGCCTGAAGAAGATTTACTCGCACCACGGCATCCGCGGCGTCTACCACGGTCTCAGCGCGACGCTGCTTTTCAGGGGTTTCTTCTTCTGCTGGTGGGGCAGTTACGACGTCTTCTCGAGGTGGATGAAGGACAACACGAAGCTGAGCGCGCCGGCGATAAACTTCTGGGCTGGAGGACTAAGTGCTCAGATCTTCTGGCTGACGAGTTACCCGTCGGACGTTGTGAAGCAGCGCATTATGACAGATCCGCTGGGAGGCGGGCTGAACGACGGCACGCCGCGGTTCAGGAGGTGGAAGGACGCGGCGACTACGGTGTATAGGGAGAGCGGATGGAAGGGATACTGGCGCGGATTCTTGCCGTGCTTTTTGCGGGCGTTCCCTGCCAATGCGATGGCGCTGGTAGCATTCGAGGGTGTCATGCGCGCCTTGCCAGAGTAGACAATATGTACACTTTTAAAAGGAGACATGGATAGACATGGGTGGACACTCGCACATCATAGACTGTAAAAGGATACCCAAAATCACTTCTCACGGATGCATCGAGGAACGAAAATGTGTGGTGGCAGATCAACAAGCACACGAGGGTGCTAACTTTTGGTATTTCCCATTTTTAACCTTGCCAAAAACAGTGCCCATGCCGACCCAAGTAACCTGAACCCGACCCATGCACACGTGAAACCATGTTACTGGTCACGTTTACTCGTCATCCTCATCAGCCTCGTCGTTAACGACGTTGAAGAACTTGAGCTCGTAGACACCCTTGGAGGTAGAGACGACACGGAGCCAGTCACGGAGCTGCTGCTTCTTGAGGAACTTCTTGGTCCTGCGGGATAACGAAAAGTCAGTAATCTGCGTTATGCGACTGCGGGTACCAGCTGTTGCGGGAATACTCACAGGTACTTGAGGTAGCGGCCGGAGAGCTCGTTGTGGGCGATGATCTCGATCTTGCCCTCACCCTGCTGGGAGATCTGGACCTGGTCGCCGAGGTTGCCGACGCGACCCTCAACCTTGATCTTGTCCTGGAGGAACTTCTCGAAGGCAGCGACGTCGAAAATCTTGTCGGAGGCGGGCTGAGAAGCGTTGATGATGAACTGATGGGCGCCAATTGGTTAGCCTTCTGTGGTTGACCGGATCGCATCGCATCTTGGAGGATTGGGTTCTCACCTTCTTGGTGACCTTCTGGGCCTTGCCCTTGCCGGTGCGCTTGATCGCCTGTTGAAAAAATGACCTTAGCCTACTGTTTCACGCCGCCGCCTCTTTCGAGGCTTGGCCAACAGCAAAGCGGTGTGATCATGTACATACTGCTTGAGGAGCCATTTTGGACGGATGTGTGGAACGCAAAGAGGTATGATCCTGCGTCTGTTGGTTGTGGTGTGGTGAGGGAAGAGAGGTTTTTGTCTTCTGAGATCGCTGGGGTCCGAACTTCACGAAATTCCACGGGTGGATTTTCGTTGTGGGCTGGAAAATGCCCGCGAAAAAAAATTAGGGCAGCGGAGCAAAGGTTCTTCCGGGTGGTGCTCACCGAGGTGAAGGCGGGAGGGCAGGACGGGACTGGGCAGGATTGCAACCCACTACCTAGCCATATTTAGAAGGTGGGTCTATCCCTGAACCCTGAACACTGAGAGGTTGGTTCCCTTCACCATTCATCGTCTTCCTTCAACACCATTACTTTTCCCTCCAGTGTCTTTTTTTGCAAAGGACTTCCTCGAAGGTCGCAATTGAAATCGATTCAAACACCGGGACAATGGACTTGTTTGCCTGGCCTTCTGCCTGCACCCCCACGTCAGAAATACCGTGCATGCCGCTGCGTGAATCACCGGAGTCATCCCCAGAGAGCCGACCGTGGGCCTGTCATTGGCCAGCTTGACATGCAGCTCTGTTTCGTCGAGTCGTACAGGTCTGCAGTCCAGAACCAGTCAAGTTTAGATCGCTCAAAGTGCCGGCTTCTCGTGCCCTCGAATCTCTTCCCAAGGGGGTTCTCGTGGCATGTGTTGCGGCTCCAGGTGGACCAGTAAGAGTCTGTCTGGGGCACAGGCGTCCTGTATCCGATCATTCTCTGATGCTTGTCGGATCTTGCATCCGCGAACCGTTGCCAACTCCAACTTGAAACGAATGCCATGCAAAAAATAAGTGGAAATAGCCTAAGCACCTCGTATTCGAGGCAAGTGGACGGTGTCAACCGACTTCGTCCGCGCCTTCTGGCGAGTAAGAAGGCTCATCACGAACGACCAGTATGGAATCTCTCGGAGGACTGGCATTGCCCAGCCGTTACAACCAAAGGCTTCCGATAGTACGTCTCCAAAACTGCGGGTTCGTAGTCTCAAGGAGGGCTATGCGTTTTCAGGCAACCCTTCTGAAATACCCCAACGGGGTTCTCGTGCTGCGCAGGCGCTTTTCTTGTGATAATGACCTCGTCCAGACAGCGTTCGCGATATGGTCGCGTGCGAATATTTGAGCTCCATCAAAGGTCAGCCCAACGTCATCCGACAGGCAGCCAAAGTCTCGGCCAACCAGGTCTGGCTGAGTAAATGTAGGAATTCTTGACGGCGATGGCTGCCTCCTATATCATGACGACTTCGGCAGCTCGTAGTCGAGAGGTGGAAAAGAAGGGTCGGATGACGTTGATCAGAGCCATGGGCCCGCCATGGGCCCACGTAACACCAGTCGCACAACGTCGGTCTTAACAAGTTTACCTACCGTTGCGGTTTGCCTAAACGGAGAACTTTGGCCTCGTTCAATAATTAAATGAGAGTGAGCCAGTAGTAGCCACTCCGGCCCTTGTTGTATCAGATAACAAGGTGGTTTGGCCGCATCCTGTCCGCCGGAATTAACCATATATCTTGGCAGGAGAGCAGCTGAGGCATGGATACAGGTGGGGGGCATGGCATTGGATTGATTCGATTCGAGGAGAGTCGGCAGGCTAATCCTCTGAGGTTCGCTCATGGTCTTCATCGTCGAGTAGAATCCATCTAGGTTACTCGCAAAAGTCATGGTCGTCTGATAACTGCTTGAAAGTTGCGCATCCGCGAAGAAAGGCTGTCCCCATCGTCGCCGGTCATCGTCAAGTTGGGATCCCTCTCTCGGCGCGCTGAATGATGGAGTCAAAGGAGTGCCTGGAGGCTGTGATGAGATGGATGGAGGCGAAGTTAGTCTTCTGCTGTCGGAGGCTGGACCTGGTTTAGCGGGAAGGATGATGAAGGAATGGGGATTGGGTGAGATGCGAGTGAGTTCCCGTAGTGCAGTGCAGGGGGGCAAGTCCTTTGACGCACAGACGGGGATGTTTTGGTTTGTGCACAATCCCTCCTCTACGTATGCATTCACAAAGTAATTATGCGTAGGGCTGAAGTACGTACCGAAAAGGCCCCCAACCGGACTATCTCCATTGTACAACGGTTACTGCAACAGTACCCGTCTTGAGTTTGGCTTGCCAGAGAACGATTTCTCTGATCCAATTGCTGCAAAGTTAGGCATCCAGTCCCGTGGCTGTGTATACACACAGAAGCCTGTTCCCCCGGTCAGCATTGCGCCAATGGCAGGCTGGCGCAACGCGTTGTACACTTCGTCACGACTCTCCCTCGATCCAACGTCGATACCTTCCAATCGTCTGCCGCAGCGGCATGCTCAGCACCGTTACATTTCCGAGAACTCAAAGGCTCCTGCCTGTAATTGTCTTGGTATCTTTCATCCGGTTGAGCCTCGGTGAGGTGGACCTGTCTGGCCGTAGACCACCCACTTTCTGTTCTCATTCGATGCCGGACTCCGGGCTAAAGGACTATCCCACCACACCACCCTCGACCTGCCTATTTGCTGTCCACTGAGATATTGTCGTTGCCATGTAGTCAACTCAGTCATCTGCCGTGAGTACGAACTCAAAATTCAATGACCAGTGTCTCTCGCGCACATGCTCGACCTGAGCCAGCCCCAGCCGCCCTTCAGTGTGTCCCCAACTTGTCCCACGCCCCTCTCGCCCTCCCGCATGTCTCAACTCGAAATCTGTTTGGTCTTATCATTCTACAATTACAGGCGCCACGGCCTAGTCTCGCCGGACGTTGATCGCGTGTTCACGCCAGGGTTGACTCATGGCGTACCCCTCGATGACGACGGGTGGACGACGCGACTTCGGGAAACGTTACAGACGACATAATTGTGGCTATCAGATGAATTGTTTCAGATGACTTACACTCCCTCTGTGTGGTGAGAAGAACTGTGCCGCGACCTAGGAGTTGGGACGTCGGTTCTTGTCCGTATGGGTGTGCACCTGCAGCCGCTTCTCAGGGCCAGGCATCCTTGCTGCTCCTTCTCGACCAGGTCTTAAAATCAGCCCCGGTAACAAGTACAGTTTACGACTACCAGTATCAGGGCAGGTACATGATATTAAGAAAACGTCGTTCTGCCTCATGGCTCATATGAGCAGGACACCTCCGGTGCGCGACGCGTTCACTACCTCATCAGCGACCACTCGATCTACACCACGACGAAGTTTAGGACCCCACTTCTTCTTCAAAAACTACTCTGAAGCCGCTCTGGATGTCTTGAGAGTATAGTTACATGACTTGAACATTCGACTCGTCGCCATCGTACACCGGAGTCTTCCGTTTTCAAGATTGTGTTTGGGCTCGTAGACTCTATATTGGACCTCGACTCGAGCCGATAGGCTTTTCCGTCTCGTTGCCTTGTAGCACAGTAACCAGTAGCATTCAGATAGCGGCTTGAGTCACTGCCTTTGTTCTCAGGTGGTGTGGACTACATATCGACATTCTGATTCGACTTCACGGCCACGACGTTACAGCAATGGCGTACACAAGGCAAGTCGTCTCTACAAGCCGCCGCTAATAGCCCCTTGAGCGGCGAACATATAACCCGGAATCCTTATAACCTCCAAAGCACATCTCCTCTAACGTTCCTCAGGATCATCTCCCAACGAACACATACTGCCGCAGCTATGATGAGAATTGCAATCGCAGGAGGCGGTGGTTTCGCTGCTATCCTCGCTCACAACATCGCTCTGACAGCAAATGCGCTGGTCGTTCTCTCGAGAGAGGTAAAACCAACGTTCCCTCTCTTTTATACAGTAGCTCATATCTTCCCAGCCAAAACCAGAGTTTGAACAACGTTACGAGTGTCAAGTAGCCGTCGTTGACTATGACGATGAAGAGAACTTAAGATTCGCCCTCATGGGAATCGACCTCGTCATATCCACCATCCGCGGGCAGGAGCAGATCAACCTCATCAAGGCTGCCCGCCATTCCCGCGTCCGACTATTTGTCCCCGCCGAATTCGAAGGCTGCATTTCTCACCGACCGTCAACATCTGACCATCCGCTAGACTATGGCTCCAACGAAGCTCTTGAGCTTCTGAAACACTATGCCAACTCCAAGTCTCGCAAGATGGATTACACCGTATTCTCTTGCGGAATTCTATACGAGCGCTTTGCGCCA